TTGAACGAGATGCTCTTGAAGGTCCCTTCCAACCCAAACCATTCCATGATTCTATGATTCTATTTTTGGGCTAGCAGGGCAGACAGACAAGATTCTGGCCAGAGACATGACCCTCGGGCTCAGGCAGAGCCCCAGGGAACCGCAAACCCTACAGGCCCCTTATCTGCAGGCACGGTTTGCTGTCAGACGTTGGCACAAGGATGGGGAAGAGTTCTGCTGCAAGAGCAATATCGTGCATCGATGGTTTGGAACTGGTTAAGAGCAGGCTCAGGGCTTTGCCCAAGCTGCCCCAACTCGGAGCAGAAGCTGGTTATTTGATTTGGGCCACCTCCTTAGTGCTGTTTCACCTTTACAAAGGGCACGAGGAGAAACACTCACCTTCTGATCAGGTTTGCAGTAAGATTGGGAACGTGCCTTCCCTTCTGGTCGGGATTTGGTCTTAATCTCCAGACTGATTAGTTGCTAAGTTTGTGTCCCTGCCCACGGCAGGGGGGTTGGAACTGGATGATCTTTGCGGTCCAACCCCTACCATTCTGTGATTCTAAGCTTGTGCCACCAAAGGGCAGTTCGTACCACTGCTCTCGGAACTCAAGTTTCGCTGTGACTCACTTGGGTTTTCTCCTTCTGTGGTGGCCTATTCACCAGCAGTACAACCTTCCCACTTGTTTTGGGAAATCTTGCTCCTGGAAATTTCAGTCCAGTTTCTGCCTCTTTGACAGTCAGCATCTCCTGGCTGGAGACAACTGGGCTGGGACTTGTCCACGCTCAACGCTCACGTAACCGGGCGGTGCTTGCGAGGAACTCGCCAAGGAACACATCAGCTCTGCTAAGTCTCAGCTGCAGCTGGTTTGTTGCTTATCACAGGGCAGCCTCATGGCTCCAGGGGAGCAGAGCAGAAGGCGCACGGGGAGAGGATGAAACAGAAGAGCCAGCGTCGTCAGGACTGTGCTCTTGGCCTGGGGGCAGGAGAGCTCGCAAACTGGAGACCGAGAGCGGTGACGCATCTGGTTCAGCCTCCTCAGAGAAGCAGATTTTGAGGGGTGGCTTTGCAAAGATGTTTCAGTGCAAAGACACTTTAGTGCAAAGACATTTTACTACAAAGATGCTTCATTGCAAAGACATTTTACTGCAAAGATGCTTTATTGCAAAGATGCTTCATTGCAAAGATGCTTCCGCAAACTGGAGACCGAGAGCGGTGACGCATCTGGTTCAGCCTCCTCAGAGAAGCAGATTTTGAGGGGTGGCTTTGCAAAGATGTTTCAGTGCAAAGACACTTTAGTGCAAAGACATTTTACTACAAAGATGCTTCATTGCAAAGACATTTTACTGCAAAGATGCTTTATTGCAAAGATGCTTCATTGCAAAGATGCTTCATTGCAAAGATGCTTCATTGCAAAGACGTTTTATTACAAAGATGCTTCATTGCAAAGATGCTTTTCTGCTCCCCGCTGTACAGCCCGAAC